AAAGCGTATAGGTTAGCCAGCTGTCTGGAGGAAAAAAAAGATCTTTGCCGAGATGATCTGTAGCTATTTAATAGTTTGTTTGTCTCACATACTTTGTATATACAAGAGTGGAAGGTGTATCTAAAATAGTGGTAAGGAAAAAAAAAGTCTGTAAAGCACAAATATAGTGTAGGCACTGCATTATATGTTATCCGCAGTTGTTTTGAGTATTAGAGGTTTACAGGCTGTGTGGCTTCACAGCAGCTCCACAGCACGGCCCATTACCCAGCTAATGAGTGGAGAGGGTGACCCTGCTAACTCGCTCTTAGCTCTCCCACCGCTGGGTATTATGGCTGGACTGGCCCAAGGCCGGGGGAACCCAACCAAGACTGCGAGGGAATGTGGAGTGCACATAGGATATAGTATGACAGGGACCTGCATGAGATTTCTACATATACATTTTAACATAGATTCTGGATACGGTTGGCCCAGGGAACATGGGTGTATAGAAGGACAGAGAAACACAGATACAACACTTTTCTTTCTCTTCTCATGTCCCAATAATGCACAGCTGATGTCTGGTCCTGTTCCTTGAATGGCAGGCTCTGATGTCTGAATGGCGAAATGCTGGTGGGCAGAGCGGCTGCGTAGGCGGCTGCTCGCTAGCTTCCCGTCGCGCCATTGGCCGGTCTCCGAAGATATCCGCTCTCCGTGTGTTTGCGTGTCTGTGAAGCGCTCTCACAGGACCGATCAGAGGAGTTACACAGTGGGAGATCGAGTATTCGCTTGCCTCAGTCAGTCAATAACTAGTGCTTATGCACAAATGCTCCAATGACCAGGATGCTTGAGAGAGATAAAAGATTTTTTGCTGCAATATCAGTGATTTTTCAAGTAGTTTGGCTGCAGTTAGAGGGTCATTTGCAAAAAAGGGCTGCATGGCTAATATTTTTTGCTGCCTCCTCCAATTGGATCCGGCGGTCTGTTTGCTCACTTGCAGGGCAGCTTGAAAAAGGAAGAATCTTTTAAGGATGCATATATGGAACAGATAAGAGTCGAACCGCCACATGGGTTCGTCATTCAGCCAAGTGTAGTTGTCATCACTCTATAAGCGTGGAGCTGCCTCGGAGAGAGAACTCAAGCTGTCTTGTATGTTAGTTATTAGATGAAGGTATTCATCCGAACTGAACACGAGTAATAGTGTCGTTTTGCGGGGGGGTTTCATGTTTTTGGCCCTTTTTCCCTTATTTAAGATGCTTTTCCTCGCAGCTCATTTTCACTTCACTCTGTATCAAGACTCTCCAGCTGCTTGTCTGAGGCCATTTTGATGCTGACTATTTTACCCCCCTCTCCCATGAACTATGGCTATGACTGAATTTAGTCTAATGCTAACGGTCAGCATTAGCTTTTCTTCCTCCCTCAGCGTCGGTTGGGGAAAGCTGTGGAAATCCCGCACGAAAAGCTCCCCAGCTCAACCAAGCCTGAAATTGAGTCGAATGGAAGTGGGAAGCGGCGGCGGGTCACCTGAATGGGTCTCAAGGCGAAACACATTAGTCTCGGCTCCATTGTTACACCGCCGTACACTAAATCTCATCGGTGGCAAGCGAAGCAGTGGTTTAGATTCACCAGCCATTCACTGTAACATAAAGAGAAACACAGGGGCGTTTTCTCACACACACACACACACTTGAAAATAGTTTTCTTTTGGCCACACAAACATTCCCACACAGTTGAAATGGCAGACTTGCAAAGTGGTTTAATCACACATCCAGCAGATACAGAGCGCAACATTAGCATTCATTAGGAACCTTGTTTGTGTTACATGTGGGTTCATCACCACAAGCCATTGCCTACCTTTCACATAGGCTACAAGTTGTGATCCATTGATACCCCCTTTCAGTGTATTGACAGAAATAAATATACTGGCTGCATTTAAATGCACAATTGGTTTTCTAATGCTCATTTTTAAGTCCTTAAACAGACCTGCTCCTAAATACATTCTAGACCTGGCATGTGCCCTCTCAACCATTAAAATCCACGGATGGAGCCCTGCTGGTTACGCCCAGGTCAAGGTTTTTGCAGCCCCACAATATAGAACTCTCTGCCTACCAATCTCAGACACACTTCGTCTCTAGCTTCTTTTAAAACCTTTGCACTTGTGAAAGCTTTTAGAAATGTTTGTATGTTTCTACTGCTTTTATTTCTATTGATGTGATCTTATCATAGACTGTATTTCAAAAGTGGATATAGTCCACCCATTGGTTAGTGGACTGCCGTTTTGAAATCTCGAGTTTGGCACTCTGGCCGTCGCCATCTTGGTTTTTTTGCAACCAGTAAACAGAAGTGACTATATTTGGACTGCAGAAGAGTGACATAGAGTATTCGTCTCAGCAACCTGTCAATCACAGTAAGCCGGCCCTAAAGCATACTCTGCTTTAGGGTTCTAAATAGACCACAATTTACGAAATGAACATCATGCTGTTTGAGACCATAAACTCTTGTTTACAATGTTTACTGAGGTAATAAATCAAGTGAGAAGTAGAGTCACTCTTAGACTTCTATACCATCAGAGGAGTCGCCCCCTGATGGCCAGTAGAGAGAATGCATGTTTAAGACACTTCAGCATTGGATTCACTTTTCAAAACCAAATTAATTGTATTGTCTTTACTTCCTCCTCACTCATCTCCTTTGGCCTTCTTCTCATTTTACCAGCCTTGTTGGTTTTCATTGTTGTTTGTAAAGCACTTTGTAACGTTGTTAAGAAAGTGCTATGACAATACAGTTTGCTATAATTATTACATTGCCAATGGGTGCACTTTTATAGGAGAAAGTAATTCCTAAAGCTAAAGCCAATAATCAGTAGAGAATAGATTGTTCTCTCTGTTCTCTGTTACTGAGCTCTTGCATGTCCATATGTGCCTTATTGATCCTGTGTATTGACCAGACTGAAGGTCCTAAGCACATACAGTTAGTAGTAATCTATGGCAACCTGCTAGTGCATCTACTCACCAAAGCAGCCTTACACAGCGTCAATTGTGAAAGACACTATATGTTTGGTAATGCAGCAGACAAACAATTCTAAAGTATCACTAATAGCAAACTCTCCCCCCCCCCACCCTCCCCCTTTAAAAAAGAGGATACTGAATGATCCATGGCACAATGGGTTCCGATTTGTTTGAATTGGAATTAATTTCAGTGCATCCTTCGCTTAGTTATTTCCAGTCGGTGGGTTCAGATGCAGCATATAAACAAACAGATAAATTGAATTACATGAATAAGTGTGCATCATTCACTACACAAGATCTCTGATTATGAGTCAAGTTCATTCTTTTTGAACGTTCAGTCTGTTCCTCTCGCCTCAGCTCTCTTTGTCCCTCTTTTATGGGGAAATAAAGAGCAAGAACGGGAGATCAGTGAAACCAAGATTCTGACACTTGGGCAGTGTTGTATTAAAAAAAGAGTTGGATAATAGGTGGAGATGAACACAGAGAGCAGGGAAGGAAGATGCACAGCACAGAAAGTTTCACTGTAATGGGACACTGCTGCAGACGAGGAGCGTAGAGCCTCGGCTAGAACTGTGCATCGAGCTGAGTTGGCCCCAATTGATTTGGACCTTTGGGAACAGTATGGTCCATATTAATTCTGCACCGTGTATGTGTGCGTGGTTGACAATCGTTGTGTGTGTGTGTTCTGCTTGCTGGGAATTCAGCGACCAAATGTAAAGGTACTATTTGAGATGACTGCAGCACTTTCTGCAAGTTTCACCCCGGAGAACTGCAGCACTATAGAAGAAGCTCACTGTTATTATCTTCAATCCTGTACTGCTGAAGCAGATGTTGCATATGATGGCGCTTTGTTTATTGCTTCAAGCCACATTAGATCCACAATCTACTTGTCTATTCGTCATCCCTTAAGTTTTATCTCATGCTCATTTTCCCCCATGCATTTCCTTCTGTCTACTTTCTCTCTCTTTTAACTTATTTGAGGCTCGGTGTCTCTCTCTCTCTGCCTCTTTCTATCCCGTGTCTATCTTGGGAGACACAATGTAGACTGAAAGCCTAGGCAAGCAAATGCTGGTACAATAATCCTGTCTTCACAGTGTGCCACTCAGCGCTCAACCACTCAGGGTAAAAAAGAAGCTCCCACATTTCAGTCTGCTGGAAAAAAGTAAAACATAGAAAGACAGATTTCCATTCCCTCCGTCTCCTTCCCGCGGCTGTCCTCCCCTCGAATCCCGACTGGCCGCTCCAGCTGCAGACAGAGATACCAGACGGACTGACTGACGGAGACACATTCGCCCAGCAGCCCAGTCAGTGTTGTTTCACAGCGGTTCGCCGCTCTGAATGATAAGCTGCCGTTCACCGTTGACCCAAAATGCAGTTCACTTCTGCATAGCCTAATCTGCAATGCATCAGGGTTATCTCCAGGAAACCAGACACAGAATACCTGCGAGGGGATTTCAATCAGCCTCCCCCATATGTAATTAAAAGGGAATAATTGGTTTCATTCATTTTGTCGTCTTATTTTATTCTTCTTTTTTTTTTTGCCAGCGAGGCCCATCGCGCACGCGCACATTATTCCGATTCGCGCTACCTTTTCTTTTCTCCAGTAAGCACTCCAAAGTAATCTTTCCTTTTTTTCTTTTGCCTTCTCCATTCTTTTCTCAAAGTAAGTGGGATCTTGTTTTAAATGTGGCCGTGTGTGGTGTATGTGGTGTGTGTGTGTTGTAGGTAAGTGTGTTGCTGCCATCATCAGGCAGAAATATAATGCTGCACTTTTAAGTCCTTGATTAAAAAAAATTTTAAAAAACTTCTGTATTTCACAGTTTTCTCCTGCAATACCCGGCCTAGAACTTTCCACACCTAAACCACAGTAACAGTGTCCTTCTTCCCCTGTGTATCTGATTTTTATATCTCTCTTCCCATCAAGTGGCTGACTTTCCCTCTTTTACTTTATCTCATCTCGCTCGCTCTGTTCCATGCCTGAACTGGTTTCTATTCTGCCCCCCCGCCCCTCTCCTCTAGCTTAAGCAAAGCGAAGCCAACGCTGACACCAAAGAGAAGCTCCCTCTGCGACTCAGGATCTTTGAGAAGTTCCCCAACAGACCTCAGATGGTGAAGATCTCCAAGCTCCCGTCGGATTTCACCGTGCCCAGGATCAGGTACCCAGTCTCAGCCAAGTCACTTCCTACACAATACATCTGTTGTTTTTTTTGTATACAGACCTGAATGTCTGTTTGGCTGCAGTTAAATTGCTGTTCTAAAAACAGACAGGCATCTCGTCCCGAAGAAAATCTTTGGCACATGCTCAGCGAACCATTTTATATTTCAAGCTCCAGTATTTTTGGGGCCTATGGAGAAGAGAAACTGGGTGATTTAAATGACATTTTACTGTTACCACCATTTCTCAGACATATTCTACAGTACTGACATGCTGTGAGGAAAGAACCAGAAACCAATATTTCACATTTGCTCCCAAGAAGATAGTAACCGATAATATTCTGCAAGTAGTCCTTTTGTATCTTTCTGCATGCAGTTTTATTTTAGCAGAAGAGCTGAACTGTGTCCAACACAGTGAACCCCGTAATCAATTGTATCGTTTAGTTGCTGATTAAAGCACAGCTGGGTCCTTCGCTCCCCGAGAAGTCCCCCTCTGCAGCCCATCTGCAGCAGGAGCTCCCACCGACTGTATATTGTACCAAGATTGTTCGGCCGTTACGTTGCAAATGTGATTACTTTCTTTGAGCATACGGAGTTCTTCAGTAGCGATCATTACACTTCTTTGCATTGTGTGTGTGCTGATTGTTGTGTACTCTAGGGAGAGTTTCATGAAGCAGTTCATTGATCGTCAGCAGCAGGACACCAGTTGTTTGTTCCGGCGTCTCCCCTCCGCATCATCCTCCTCCTGTGACCACTCCAAACGCTCAGCCATTGAGGACAACAAGTACATCGACCAAAAGGTACTTTCACGCACTCTCTTACTTACACACACACAGATAGTGAATGTGAAAGTGACAACTCTTTTAGTGGCTATATATACAGAAGATACAGTAGCAATTGTTGTTTGTATGGTGTGTGTTTGGATGGTACACTATGCATTTAACAAACTGCCAGCTGATGGACTCTCACTATGTGCTCTCTCAGCTCCGCAGGTCAATATTTAGCATCCGAGCTCGTAACCTCCTGGAAAAAGAGAACACTATCAATAAAATCCTGCGGTAAGACACTTCTGACACCTCCCCAATATGCATCATTTTGGTCATTTGGGCATCTAGGTTGTAAATGAATTTAGTTGAATTTTTTAAACAACATTTCAGTGACTGTATTTCAATGTTTCTTAAGGCAGCATTTTAAGTATGTTTCCCTGCTCCACCTTTCATTGTTGCATCAAGAAAAATCATTGCAGCTGAAATTCTGCTGAAACAGTTATACGTCTCGGAGATGTCTCTAAAGAGATTCACTTTTCAACCAATAATCCTAAAGAACGTAAACAACGAACATGGCTATTGTTAGCACTCGGAGCCGTCGAGCTAACAGCTCGTGGAAGACGCGCAATGAGTTTACGGTCGTCCAATCATTTTATCGGGCCCGAATGAAATGATACAGTCCTGCTACACCCACAGATATCAGTGTTTCATCTTTTTTCCCCCCAGAATATTTTATTTATTGACTAGTGTCAGGATGTAATGAGAATTTCAACATTTTTTGAAGAAGTCTACTAACCCTAGCTTTAATCAGGAGATCAGAAGATGTTGCATTGACACCATCCTCGGAGACCCCAGCTGCAGTAGACGTGTTTGGTTTGCATCATCCACGGTCATGAAAGACGTCCTAGTCTTTGTGTGTGCATGCGCATTAGATGTAGCTCTGCTGTAACAGCACTCTGGCATTGTTAATGCCTCTCTCCCTCATTGTCTCACACACATACACACACACACACACAGAGAGACACACAGACCCACTTCACACTCATCAGCATGAAGTAAATGGATGATTTTCTATTCAGCATGGCAGAACTGGCACTAATTGTGGATCAGCTTGCTGGCACCATGTACAATCTGCCCCCCCCCCCTTATTTAGTCAGTCTGGAAGATAGACAGCATATCAGTAGTCATAACACATTCTGTCTGGCCTGCCATCATCCGCGCAAACGCACAATTAGGGCTCACAGTCGCGTCGACAAACGTCCAGCACTCGCAGGCGCTTTTGCATACTCACTGCCAATAAACAAGGAATCGCTTAGAGTCTCCGTAAATGATTGAAGTACATGCGCCGTCGGTGCCCACGGCGTCATTAGCCCTGTTCTGGGACATGACTCTGCTGTTAGCCAGAACACGCAGGGATGCCCACACACACACATTGACTAATGGAATGATTGGAACCTATTTCAAAATAACAGTCTGGATTGCCACTGTCAGGGGCCGCGAATAACGAAGGTGGAGGATAGCTCTTTAGGCAGCAAGATGGACCAGATCCGGCTGCATTGTGGTTGCCAGCTGGTGACCTCACGCACTGATATTAAAATAATATTTATATATTTAATCTTCATTATCATTGATCACGAGGAGAGAGAAAGAAAACATGTTTGTGTTTCACAGGGCTTGCATCAGACAGCGTATGCTAAGCGGATCCTTCGAGGGCCAGCCAGCCAAAGAACGCTCCATACTCAGTGTGCAGCATCACATCCGGCAAGAGCGCAGGTCTGACCACTCACACACACACACACAACCACAAATGCAAACAAGTACTATCTTACGTACCTGCGAAGTACTGCGTTACACATGTTTGCTCTTTGCACCTGCAGATCTCTGAGACATGGGTCCACCAGTCAGAGGATCAGCCGGGGGAAGTCGCTTGAGACGCTCACCCAGGATGTGAGCGCGGCACACACACCCAAATACTGACACGCTGTACCTCACTGAGTTTTTTTGTTGTTTTATGCATTCCACTAGTATTCTTGAAAACAAAAAGAAATACAAATAGAGATACATTTATCACAAAATACAATTTAAAAGTGTCATTCATACCTTCATCATCCCTTTTCTACCCCCAGCATTCCAGTACGGTACGCTACCGTAATGCGCAGAGGGAGGACAGTGAGATCAAGATGATCCAAGAGAAGAAAGAACAAGCAGAGATGAAAAGGTATTCACACACACCAACACACAAGCATTGATCAATTGATCTGACAAAAAGACATTTCTGTTCAGTCCTTGCTGTTTCATGGTTATCCTGTGTTGTAAATGGTGTTTGTCCCATCTCTGTGCTCGTAGAAAAGTCCAGGAGGAGGAACTGAGGGAGAACCATCCGTACTTTGACAAGCCTCTCTTCATCGTGGGGCGGGAGCACCGCTTCAGGAACTTCTGCAGGATGATTGTGCGGGCTCGCTTCAATGCGTAAGATCAGTCGTATATCTCCATTTGGTCTAAAGGTTTCTCTAAGCAGCTTCCCGTGGCTCAGAATGGTGTAAAGTTGGACTTCAGCACTCAGTAAATATACAAAAAACATTAAGGTTGACCCACTTGTCTTTGATTTCTTTAGACCAATTTGTACTGTTTACTCTGCAGCATAGGGTGAATATCCTTGTGTGAGGTTTTCTCAACATGTCAACAATTCAATTTATTTGTATGAATTCATATCTAGATCCAAAACGGACCCCATAACAGGAGCGGTGAAGAACACCAAGTACCACCAGCTGTAGTAAGTGTGATGAATTACTGATCCGTTCACTCTCTCGCTATTGATCTATCCGCTCTACAGCAGTGGAATACTTATTAATTCTTATTACCTGCCTGCTGTGCTTGCCCAAAAAAACTAGCGGTAAGGAATGGAAATTGTGAAGTGAGGGCCCATTATGCAACCTGATCGTAATTCATGGAGAGCACACGGTCTGATTATTAATATGAGAGCTAGTCCTTTGTATCAGATACTGTTGGTGCCGGGGGGATTTTTAATTTTTTTTTCCCAAGCAGCGATCTTCTGGGCCTCGTCACCTATCTGGACTGGGTTATGATCGTGGTGACCATCTGCTCATGCATCTCCATGATGTTCGAATCGCCCTTCACCAGGGTCATGCATGCCCCCACACTGCAGGTATGGAAAGCTGAGCGAGCGAGCGATTGGAGGTTCGATCGGGAGACGCGACTGTCGTTACACTGTCGTGCTTCTCTTGTTTCAGATCGGGGAGTACGTGTTCGTGATCTTCATGAGCATCGAGCTCAACCTGAAGATCATGGCCGACGGCCTGTTCTTCACCCCCACCGCCGTCATCAGAGACTTTGGAGGGGTCATGGACATCTTCATCTATCTTGTGAATAATCTCAACCTAGCTTAGTTCATTTCACGTTCAAATTGGCTATTCATCTAGTGTGCAAAGATTATGCAAAAGACGGATTTAGTGAATAACATATCTACAGGGTTGCTAAATCAAATGATGAATCTGTGACGTGAACACATTGCAACTGCAATGATGCCTTTCTTTTTTTCGCCCTAATCGTTTGCTGCCTTCCTCGCTGTGGCAGGTGAGTCTGATCTTCCTGTGCTGGCTGCCTCCTGACGTCCCTCCTGAGTCTGGGGCTCAGCTGCTGATGATGCTGCGCTCCCTGCGTCCGCTCAGGATCTTCAAGCTGGTACCCCAGATGAGGAAGGTGGTGCGGGAGGTTCTCAAAGGGTTCAAGGAGATCTTCCTGGTTCGTTCTTAGCCACCATTTCCACTTGTGTGCGGCTTGTGTTACATACGATTCATGTTGGTCCCCATTGATATGCACTCTGGGCATATGCACGCAAATGTGCATGAACATGACTCAGTCTTCTCACTCTTCAGCTTACTTATGAAAAACTTAATCAGGAGAAAGCTCTGGCATCTGGCAGGTAGTTATTTATTTACACCTCAGTGCAGTGTAACATTAAACTTAATTCCCTTGAAACTTGCAATGCTGAGGCTTGAATGTAACACTGTTAAACTGTAAAGATGGTCTCGAAAAGCTTTTAGATGTGTGAAGGATTATGATATGCTTTGGAAAAAGGTTGACGGTTAAGTATTTATGATTTATGGTGGATACGTGCACAAAATACCACCAAGATTTGCACATGAATGCATCTTATTCCCCTCTATTGCACTGTGCTCTTGTTGCTATTGCATTCCCTCCTGTTTCTGGTGTTGGCTTGCCTTTTCCTTTGCCTGCCAAGTGTTATAATTATATTATTAGGAGCTTGCTTTAGTTACCGATTCTCTCTGGGTCCGACGTGGATTTCCCCAGCTGAGTTCTCCACATCCGCAGCTGTCTGACTTCCTCAGCTTGCTCTCTGATCTCGCACTCATGGATTATGCTGAACTGTCTGCCTTAAACTCCTGATTGATTCTCCCGCAGGTTTCCATTCTGCTCCTCACACTAATGCTGGTGTTCGCAAGCTTTGGGGTTCAGCTGTTTGCCGGAAAGCTCGCCAAGTGCAACGACCCCCATATCCTCAGACGGGTACAGCAAGAAACCTAATCTCCTCACTAAACCACCCACCTCCCCATTCCACACTCCCCGCAGGGAACCACGAGCTGAACAAGTACAAGGGGTTTTCCCAGTCAATCAATAATCCAGTGGTTACCTTTATCACACTTTCCTAACTACAGTCATTATACTTCTTTCAGCTTGTGCCAATGTTTTATTTTACAAACAAGTCTACTCAACAAGTTAACTGACGAGAACTGGTAATGCGCCAATGATTGATGTGCATTGAAATGATCCATTTACTTGCGTAGCGATGAGGACAAACATGTTGTCTTCAAACAGACTTTTTAATTCTTTAAGAATTCTTTTGTCAGTGCGTTATGCAAAAATAAGTACAGCTTTTTTCAGTCTGTTTATCATTTCAAATGTTTGAGTTGTTATTTCATACAACATACATGCTAAGCCACTTCACCAACAGCTGTTCTAATGGTTGCTTCATTCTGTGTTTTGCTGTGAACTGTGTTGTTGGTTGCAGGACGAATGCCACGGTATATTCCGAATAAACGTCAGTGTTTCCAAAAACCTCAACTTGAAGCTGAAGCCTGGAGAGAAGAAACCTGGTTTCTGGGTACCGAGAGTCTGGTAGAGTGCTTTTTATTTTGTTTTGTTTTGTTTTGTTTTACTTTACTTCACTTTACTTTATTTTATTTAATTTTATTTTATTTTATTTTATTTTATTTATTTTAGGATTGTTTTTCTTCAGGTGATTGATGTATTAATTCCGTCCTTCCTCAGGGCCAACCCTCGTAATTTCAACTTTGACAATGTGGGAAATGCCATGCTGGCTCTGTTTGAAGTGCTGTCCCTGAAAGGCTGGGTGGAGGTCCGAGACGTCATTATTCACCGCGTCGGACCGGTACCTCACTTTACCTTTACCACTCACTTCCATCAAAGTCTTTCTTTTCACCGCTGGTGTCTACATTAAATACCACTGTGCCTGCAGATCCATGGCATCTACATCCACGTCTTTGTGTTTCTGGGATGCATGATTGGACTCACTCTGTTTGTGGGCGTTGTCATCGCGAACTTCAACGAGAACAAGGTAAGAGAGCCACGCACAGCGATGCAGCATCATGCTTTTTTATGCTTTTTTTTGGGGGGGGGGGTTCAAACTGATGCTGCAACCAAGCTTGCAAAAAAAAAATTGGCTCCAGGATTTGAATGTGTTGTGTGTCTCCCGCCGCCAGGGCACCGCTCTCCTCACAGTAGACCAGAGGAGATGGGAGGACCTGAAGAGTCGACTGAAGATAGCCCAACCTCTGCACCTGCCCCCTCGCCCAGGTGCTCACACGCAAAAAAATAACAAGCCAAAAGCTTTGGCAAACATTCTGCAGTACAAAGCAGTGGCATAAATCACAGCATTATGAATTGATTGTCCATGTGGCGTGTGTGCCCGCAGTTTTGTTTGGCGTGATTAATCCGCATTTAACAGTCCTTGTTTTTCATTGAGGACTGACGCCTCCCAGCAGTAGTAATGAAGCAGTTCAATAGGAGGACAGATATAACGTGCATGTCACAGCCTCCTACAGGAAATTCACAGAGGGTATCAAATTTTCACATGTTGCAGTGAACTACCAGCTTCACCCGCACTAAAAATCCCATTCACGGACAAGCGGTAACCAGATAAATATTGAGTTTGCTTACAGTTTTTACACACACTCAAACTACGTTGCTATCGATAACATGTCGACACGGGAACACGGAGCATTCACGCCGTCGCTTTTTCTCCTGTGATTAAGAGTCGTGAGAGTAGTTGAAAGTGCCTCGGAGGCGGTGTGGTAAATGGCCTGTTAGTACAGTCGAGTCTGAGAACTAACAGGAAATCAATGGCTTCAGTTTTAGTCAGCAGTGCCGCTGACACCGGCGGTATCAGCCAGACTTTGATCTGCATCCAGAGGCCCCTCTGCACCGGCGCCACCCGCTCACTGTTGGCAGATCATAACAGCGCCGAGCTGGCCCGAACTCACATAGTCCGACTCAAAAGTGCTTGTGAAAAGTCATGTTATCACAGAGACCGCCACTGGATGAAATGTTGTTAAATTTCTGTGTTTATTAGATATTAAACTCCCTGCTTTGATGTGGATACAGTTGACTAGGATAACATGCTAAAACGCTCTCAAAACTCCAAACTAGACTGTTGACACATGAAACAAGCATGAACTTAATATGCATGTGAATGGGGAAATACAATCCTGGAAACCCGTAGAGCAGTCATAGTCCTCCTGTGCAGTGTGCGGAACACCCAGTGGCAATTTGGGGGTCCCGTCAGATACTCAATACTCAATTTCATGGATACAAGCAAAGCCAACTTGGCTGTTCACACTTTGCACACACAACAATAAGGCCACTCACACAACCACACAACAACTACTCACTTGCCACACACATGCAAACACGCTCGAACTCGACGCACAGACCTCGGCTTGGCTTCTTCTCATTGCCGTCCTGGTAGTCAAGAAGAGAGGGGAGACAACGTCTTTCTTTGAATCAGGTTGTCACGAAAGGCGCTGGATCAAATTTGTCCAAAGGTGGTCCAATTAGGTCCACAAATTGGCGCATCCTGTTGCGTTCCTGGCTGGATGCGACAGTTACGTCACACATCGTCTCTCGCACTCACTACTCATATTTGTGAATGCAGTTTGAATAATGAATACTGGGCACTAGTAAGCTTTCAAAATACATTTTAGTGACAGTTGCAAGTTTGAAATAATTGTCTCATGATTAAAGAGACCCCACAGAATTTTACAATTGAGGCTTTCAGCCGGTCTCAAGTGTCAATCAAGGAGACTCAGACCCCCCCCCCCCCCCCCCCCCCCCCCCCC